CGTGGCGCGTCTGACACGCGTGGCGCACCTCGCCCCAGCGTCGAGCACAGGGGCTCGGTTTTGGTTCCCAATATACTTTGCCCATCCAAAGACGACCGCTAGACATGCTGAGGCTCGGGTGTCACTTATGTGTTCGGAAGGCGGGTGGGAGTGAGCTAGACGGCTTGCTATCTAGGAGGGCCTCTTGACCCCTCATTCGACCCCCTCCTCTGGACCTGGACGGGGGGGGCGGCGAGGCGCTGGAGCGTCCAAGATGGCCCAAGACGGCTCCAAAATCCAAAAGGGTCCCTGAGTCCGAAATGAACCCCAAGATGGCTCAAGAGAGAGCGCGATGCCTCAAGATGGCCCCCAAGATGCTTCACGAGGCCCCACAAGCGTTCCAAGACGGCTCCAAGAGACCTCCGAGACCTCCAAGAAGGCACCCAATAAGCCAAAATCAATGATTTGTGTTTTCTCGTCTATTCGCTTCCGACGGCCATCCGAGGCCTCAAGATGGTTCCAAGATGTCCCAAGAGATCCCCAGGAGAGGCCCAAGAGAGCCCCATGACAGTCCCAAGAGCGCCCAAAGGCGCCCCAAGAGCGCTCCAAGAGGAGTCCACAAGACAATGTTCGGTGCTCCCGAGGGTGGGCCCGAATTGAAGCCCACCTCTTGTTTGACCTATGTCCTTCAAGGTGGCCCCAAGAGCGCCCCTGAAGCTCACAAGAGCGCCCCTGAAGCTCCCGAGAGCGCCCCAAGATGGCACCAAGAGGCGCCCAGGCAGCCCCAAGAGGCCTCCAAAAGGCTCCCCAAGGACCACGTAACTACGAGGCCTCAAGAAGATCCCCGAAGTAGCCAATTCTCTCTTCTTCTCCTCCTTTTCCCTCCAGTTCGTCCTCCTCGTCCTCGCCCTACTCCACTTCCTCCTCCTCCTCCTTCTCCTCCTCCTCCTCCTCCTCCTCTTCCTCCTCCTTTTTCCTCCTCCTCTTCCTCTTCCTCCGCCTCCGACGACGACGACGATTCCTCCTGCAATCCCCCCCCTCTTGGAGTATATGACGGTTTCTCCCACCCTTTGCTCTTCTGCATGCTCCACCACTTCCCTGATCACTTCAACTCCTCTGGGCATCGTTTCTGGATGGGCTGGTGGGGGTATCCTTTAGTCCGCGGGTGCGCGAAACGAGTCGAACGCCGAGCCTGCTACGGCTTGCCGCGCCCGTAGCGAAGAGAAACAACCGTGAGCGACTGCACGCGAATGGCCGCGAACCCGATAAGGCGGTAAGCAGCAGAAGAGCGTACCGAACACGAAGACCTTGCACAAACGCGTCAAGAATTTCTGCTGGGGGGAACGGGTTCCACCTGTGTTTTTGCTTGTTCAATGGGCCCGGGCGCCCGCCCAACCCATTGGGAACAGAACGCAAATTCGGGGCCTCCGGGCGGGGTTGGGGTGGCTGGGTGGGTGGTGCCGGTTGAGCAAGGACCGACCATCCCGGCATTCCTGTAGGCCTACCACCAACATGTTCTTAGAGCCCCAGAAGGCTCTCAGAACAAAAATCAAGTTCTTAGAACAGAACCCCGATGTGTTCAAACAAGACTGTCCCAGCCAGAAATCTACCAAGAACATTTCGCACAGACCACCAAAGCTCCTTTGTGAACATGTATCGGTGGGCCTATAGGCCTATGGAAAGCCAGGACGTTTCGCCACTGCTCGAGGCAGGCGGCCCCAACCTGGAAGAACTCCAGCACGAGCGCCACCAGCGAGGGCGGCGCGCCCACGGAGCCGTGCCCGCTGAGCAGGGCGCCCAGGGCGCCGAGCCACGCCCGCAGGCGCTCCGAGGCACCGCCCTCCCCGCGCGCGGGGAAGGGCGAGCCGCCGAAGGCGTCGCCGTAGGATGCGCCGAGCTCGGCGCGCACCCGGTCGTAGAGCCCGCGGCGGAGGTGGCAGAAGCGCCGCGGGGCCCTCCAGTCGAGGGAGGGGCGCCCTGGGCCACGGCCGTCGAAGGCGCAGCGGATGACGTACCACTCGTGCCCTGCCCTCTGCACGCGGCTGTGGAGCAGGAGCTCCAGCCCCGGGTGGCCCTCGGGGTCCTCCGGGCCCGCCGACCAATGCCTCAGGCTCGCAGCGCCGTAGCCGAAGAGCTCGAGGAGCCGCAGCGCATCCTCCCCGCCCAGTTCCCGCACCTCCCAGCGCGCAGCGTCCTGCCAGGCGCCCTCGTGGGCGTCCCGGCCCGCCACCATGCGCATGGCGGCCTCCGCCAGTGCCCTGTCGGAGGCAGAGGCCGCGGGCCGCTCCTGCGGAGCTGCACGGGCTGGTAGGTTCGGCTGGCCTCCTCCGACTGCCCCGCCGGCCCAGTCGCTCTCCTCTAAACAAGCGCGTTCCACGACTCGCAAAGTAAGTGCTCGCAAATGGCCTGGATCTACCGCGGTGGATTTACGACGATCCATTACCTAGAGGAAGACATGTTTCTTGTTCGGACGTTTGCGCGAGTGCAGGCACTTTTCGAGCAGTGGAACGCGTTCGGTGATCCTCTGACTGCACGGAGTCGTCGGAGGAGACCTCGTCCGCCTCCTCGGAGACTGCAGCCGCCTGACGGGTGCTGGCTCCTGGGCACGCGCCAGGCAGGGCTGTCTCCATGGGGGCCTCGCGCGCGGCCGCGGCACCCTGCGACGCCGACGGCGCTGTGGCGGCCCCCGCGGGCGCCGCGCGCTCGCTCTGGCCCACCTCCTCGCGAGCCCACTGCTGCGCCGCCTCCAGCGCCTCCCTGCGAGGCCCCGCCGCAGCCGCGCCCGACGGCCCCCCGGCGCTCCGCTCGCCCTCCGCGGCGCCGCCTCGGCCCTCCGCGCCCTCGCCGGGCGCTGGCTCCTCGGCCGGCGCCGGCGTGCGGAGCGCGGGCGCGCCCTCGCCGGCGCTGCGAGGCGCCCGGGGCGGCAGGTCGGGGGGCGCCGGCGCGCCGGCCCCCGGGCCCGGGGCCCCCGTCGTCCTCAGGGCCGCCGCGGCGCCAGGTGCGGCTGCCTGCAGGGGCGCCCCGCGCCCGGCCGCGGCGCTCTGCGCCGCCGCCGCCGCCGGCAGGGCGACCTCTGCGAGCGCGGCCGCCGCCGCGCGGTCCATCCGGTCCACCTCGGCACTCCGGTCGGCCGGCGGAGGGCCGGCGTGGTGCTCCGTGCGGGCCGGCGCGGCCGCGCCCTCGCGCGGCAGCGGCTCCTTCGGCTGCGCGCAAGAAGTGGCCCTTCGAGCAGGGGATCGACTGCAGACTTGAGTTACCCCAAAAGGAATCCCAGACATGGACGCGTCGTAAAAAAAGATCCGGGTATGGCAAATGTTGCACCGTGTTCGGCCCTGTTGGGAGCCCTCGCCAGGCCCCGGGACCGTCAAACATCGGCTCAAGATGAACAACAATTCGGCCCCAGAGAAAGGGTCTGGACTTCCGGGGACGCCGCACTGACAAGAATCAGGACGTCACATGTCTGGGATTGTCTCTTCGCAGCCACAGGAAGACAAAATAACATAAGACATTAAAAAACAGCAACTCGAATTCTCGGCCGATGTGCGAAACATCGACACATTCGTCGCAGGTTCGATGGGGGGGAAATCGATTCTGGGGCACAGTCAACATGAACACTAAGGACGGGTGGCAAGGACGCAAGACCCTTGAAGTCGAAGCTTGGACCTTTTGGGCGGCGAGCGACCAGTGAAAACGGCAAAGGATGAGGATGGGCCACGGAGGCAAGGACACAAAGGGGGGGAGGGCAGGGGAGGGCAGGGGAGGAGAGGGCAGGGAAGGGGAGGGGAGCGAGGGGGGGGAGTGGAGTGGAGGGGAGGGGAGGGGAGGGGCGAGGACTAGGCATGATGACTGCAGATCGATGCTGCAGTCGATCCCCTACTCGAGCATTCTAGGCAAGAGCAACCTCTGGTGCCCTGCTTTCGGGGGGGGGGGGCACTGGAGGGCCCGGCCAAGGCACGCGCAGGACGCTATACTACCGCATCGCGCCCGGCCACCCGAGAACCCCGGTGCTCACTCGGGCGAAGAGGGTCACTCCCAAATCTCCTCGCGCTGTGAAAAAACACGACGGGAAGTTTTTCGCTATTCTTGGCTTCCGGGGGCTCTTACCTGGCCTCGGGACCGTCAAAAACGACTCAGGATGAAAAACCGGTCCCAGGGAAGGGATCCAGACCTCTGGGGGGCGACGTTGTGAAAAAATCAAGACGTTGAGAGTCTGGGCTGGCGTGTCCCTCTACATGAGGAAAATTCAAAAATAGTCAAATATAGTCTGGGGACTATTTCTTGAACATTTGTTGACCATTGTTGAATATGTTTGGGGTACTTTTGATGTTTCGCCCGAAATCCCCCTGTAGGGGGGACAGGCCCGACCTGAACGCAGTCCCTGAGCACGATGGGAGCAGCATAAACCTCGCTCGAGCAACGCCAGCGTGGCCCCCCGAGGCCCGCGCACCCCTGCCACGCATCCCCACGGCACGGGCCGACTCTCCTTGGACGCCGCCCCGGCCGACGGGGCCCCGCTGCTGCCAGGCCGCGGCGGCGGCGGCGGCGGCGGCGCCTGCCAGTGCTCCCGGGCGGCGGGGGCCTCCCTGCTCGCGGTCTGGAGCGCCTGGGGGGTTCGACGCTCGCTCTGGGGACCTTCCTGCAGACACTTGCTCCGCTCGTGCGCCGCAGCTGCGCACAGCGTCCGTCGACTCGAGCCGACCCTGGGTCGATCCTGGGTCGAGCCCGAGTCGCACTTAGAGCCGAAGTCGGGTCGAACTTGGCCGAGCCTGAGCCGAACCCGAGTCGAGCCTGCCTCGAACCTGAGCCCCACCTGGGTCGAACTGGCGCCGCACGGGAGCCGCACTGGAGCCGAACAGATCCCCCAGACCCCCGACATCAGGATTTCTTCACGACGTCGACTCCCCGAGGTCCCGACCCATTCCCTGGGACCCGTTTCTCGTCCCGCGTCTTTTCTTGACGGTCCCGAGGCCTGGCAGGGGCCTCCGACGGCCGAACGTGCAGAAAACACGCCTGTCGCGATGTTTGTTCACGGGCCGTCGGGTGGGCCCCAGGAAGGCCCCCACACAGCGAGCATCCGAGCTGCAGGGACCTCCGGGCTCGCGGCTCGCGAGGCGCTCGGAGAGGAGGGCCGGGGCGAGGCGGCAGGCCGGCCGCCCGCCCGGTCCCAAGAGTCCGCTCATGAGGTCGGTCCCCCGACCCATCCCGTGGTCTCGCCATCGCTCGGACGTCCACATGGCCCGTGGGTTGTTCGCTGTGGTCTCCTCCTCCTCATCCTCCTCCTCCTCCTCCTCCTCCTCCTCCTCCACCCTCCTCCACCCTCCTCCTTCCTCCTCCTCCTCCTCCTCCTCCTCCTCCTCCTCCTCCTCCTCCTCCTCCTCCTCCTCCACCACCCCCCTCACTCCTTCTGCCCCTGCTCCTGCTCCTACTACTCCTCCTCCTCCTGCGCCTCCACATGCTCCCCCCCCTCCCCCTCCCATCCTCCTCCTGCTCCTGCTCCTGCCCCTGCCCTCTCTCGTCCTCGTCCTCGTCCTCGTCCTCCTCCTCCTCCTCCTCCTCCTCCTCCTCCTCCTCCTCCTCCCTCCTCCTTCCTCCTCCTCCCTCCTCCTCCTCCTCCTCCTCCTCCTCCTCCTCCTCCTCATCCTCGTCCTCGTCCTCTTCCTTCTCCTCCTCCTCCTCGTCTCCTGCTCCTCCGCCTCCTCCTCCTCCTCCTCCTCCTCCTCCTCACCCTTTTTTGTTCTTAAACTAGAGGGGTCAACAAAAATAACCTGACCGAGAGACCTCCTCCTCTTCCTCCTTCTCCTCCTCCTCCTCCTCCTCCTCCTCCTCCTCCTTTTCCTCCTCTTTCCTCCTCCTCCTCCTCCTCCTCCTCCTCCTCCTCCTCCTCCTCCACCACCCTCCTCGTCCTCCTCGTCCTCCTCCCTCCTCCCCCTTCTCCCAGTACAGATTCCTCCCTGCTCGTCCTTCTCCCTGCGTGCACTTGTTCGTCTGGTGACCCAGTCTGTGCTCCTCGATGGCCCTCGCCGAACAAAACACAAACGTGTGAAGGATGCCAAGAGGTCCCTCGTCACCCGTTCCCCGCGGCCGCTGATCCAGCCGTGGCGACGAGAAGCCTCCACTCCTCCTCCCCCTCCTCCTCCCCCCCCCCTCCTCCTCCTCCTCCTCCTCCTCATCCTCCTCCTCCTCGTCCTCCTCCTCCTCCTCCTCTGAGGGCCAGAGAGCGCTCTCCGAATTCCCTGGTCCCCTCCCGGGGTCCATCCTGACGCGTTGTTCGAAGCGACGAGAAGCCTCCGATAGGGCCAGAAAGCGCTCAGAGTCCTCGGGCCCGCACGGGGTCTCAGGCGCTCGTCATACGGACCTTCCTGGAGCCACCCGCTCCACTCGTGCGTCGATGCTGCGTCGAACGTCCGTCGACCTGAGTCGAACTTGAGTCGAACTTGAGTCGGACTTGAGTCAAGCTAGAGTCGAACTTAAGCCGAACTCGAGTCGAATTTTCAGTCGAGCTAGAATCGAATTAGAGTCGGACTTGAGTCGAACAGATCTGTTAGGTGGCCCCCAGGAAGGCCCCCAGAACGAGCATCTGAAGGGTTCATCCCGACGCGGATCCAGCAGCCGTGGCGACGAGAAGCTTCCAGAAAGGCAGTTCAGCACCCGAAGACCGTCGAAAGGCCACTCCCAGGGTCCCCCTCGATCCGTTCTGCGGAGCGGATCCAGCCGTCGCGACGAGAAGCCTCCAGGATGGCCAGAAGCCGTGGCGACGCGAGAAGCCTCCAAGGGGGCCCGAGAGCAGGGGAACAAACAGTGAGGGAAACATAACCTGAGGTCCGCGCGGATCTCTTGGATCGGCGCTGGGGCCCCCGGGCGGCGCATCCGGCGCCGCCCCGCCGGCGCGCTCCGCGTGCCTAGGGAGGGGCTCAGCGCCGACCCGAGAAATCCGCGCGGACCTCCGAGTTTGTTTTATGCTTATGTCATCGCTGCTTGGATCGCGGCGGTGGTTGCTAATTAAGGGGATGAGGGTGTTTGAAGTGGATGCTACAGTGAGTTTTGTCTGGCCTAACCCACCCTATAAGTGGGTTGCAAGTGCCCAGTGTGGCTCAGGATGATGAGGCAACTCCGCCAAGTGGGCTCCGCCCACTTAGCCCAGAGCTGTACGCCCTCAAGCCACTCAGGGCACGTGCAACCCAGTTCTAAGCTGACTTAGGCTGGATAGAACCACCTTCGAATCTCTCCCTATCGCAGACATGCGCCGTCCTGATTTTTTCAGGACGGCGTCCCAGGAAGCCCCGACCCTTTCCCCCGGGCCCGTCTTTCATCCGCGAGGCCCGGCGAGGGCCCCCCGGGGCCGGAAACTAGCAAAACCGCCCGTCGTCCGTCCTGATTTTTTGGTTACACGACGCGATCGTGTCTGGGTCTGCATCTGCTCGTGGTCGATGCAAACTCTGGGGAGGGCCGCTGCCGCGTGTCATATGTGGCCCTCCGACCCGAGGCACCGCTGCCGAGGGCGGCGCCGCCCCGCTGGCCCCCGCGCGCAGGCCGGCGAGGTCCCGGGAGCCGCTGGCCGACATGGGCCGGGCCCTGCACTGAGAGCGAAGAAAACTCTACCCCCAGACCCCCTCGAGGAATGAAAAGAATCATGACGGGAGGTTTCTCCTTGTTTTCTGCCTCAAAAAACGACCCAGGACAAAACACTGGTCCCGGGGAAGGGGTCCAGACTTCTGGTGTCGACGTCATGAGAAAATCATGACGTCGGGGGTCTGAGCCCTGAGCTCCTGGCGTTGCAACTTTTTCACCACGGGCGTTCTTGCGCCCTGTTTCCGCC